AGTTTTGCTTACCTCCATAATATTTTCAACATTTTCTGGAATTCCATGAATTTCGTTAGTATTATTGAATTCTTTTTGTTTCATACGTTCAATTTCATTAGAATTTATTTTTATTTTCTTGCTCAAAATTTCGTTTTCGTTTCTCAAATTTATATTTTCCTCCACTATAGTATCCACAATATCACTGAGCTTATTTAACCTCTCCGATATTTCACTAAAGTATTCACCAAAGCTGTCTATTCTTTGTAGGATTAGATTTATTTTTTCTTCCAATGAATTATTAACTGGGGTTTTTAACTCAGGAACAGTAGAAACTTTACTAATTGAAGGCGTATTCAAATTAGAAGACAGAATTGAGCAACGTTGTTGGCGTTGATTTTTACAATTTGTACAAAACCAGAAAATGCTATACGATTCCAAATACTTTTTGTAATCTTCAATTCCCATAGAAGTAAACGACAAATGGAACATATTTTTGCATGTTCCATCACATTGTATTTTTTTACTTGTCCTTAAATAAATTTTTACAGGAGCTACAGCTTTTCCTTGTTATTGTATCTGGCGCCATTTTTATTATATAATGTACTTTTGAAGGCGCACAAAAGTATAATTTTCGTATATAAGGTATAGGGAAAAATTTTAAGTAGTTGTACTCACTTGCACTCATTCCAGTACAAGGTGGCATATATGGTGTGTCCATAGTATAAAAGCAGCGACTTAAAAAAAGTAAGTGTTAATATAAAAAATATAATATGTATAGGGTGTATGTAAAAATTATAATATGTATAGGGTGTTTCGCATAACGTGGCAAATAATTTCGGGGATGGTTCTTTGATCAATTTCCAGCAAAAAATTGTATTGGTGCGGGACTCGTATAGATATACTCGTTTTCGAGCTACAGCCTGCCGCATATAAACAAATGCTTATAACTTCGGAACCAAACAACATAGAGTAATTATTAGGAACTTGTTTTACAGGTGAATGATTGTTCCTAATTTTTCGTCTTACAATTAATTAGAATTAGGAAGATGGGTGGGTAGGCATGGAAAAAGTTGAGGAAGCTGAAGATAGTCGAAGTAAACTACGAGAACGTCTTGAAGATGTTAGACGGTAAGATGGCCAACAGCTTCTTAGCAAAGAAAGCTGACAATGCGTCCATCTTAGCTCCGCTTTGCAGGTGCAACCCGAAAGCCAGCTGGCTTTTAATTACCTGCGCTAATAGACCGAATAAGGACTGGCTAAAGGAAGTCGTCCCAGGGTTTCATCCGTTTGAAGGAGCACAATTGAAGGCGGTGGAGGGTGTCGATCTGCCCAAACTCATTTTCTGCTCGGGGCTCTTTCCCCATGAGAATAAGTTGTGCGAAAGCAGCATTATGTGCAGGCTGAGGAGGCAGAACAATAGTCTGTATGATATTCTTCAGGTCATTAATATTTGCAAATGGGAGGAAAACTCAGTTGTTAAGTTGAACATAACAGAACAGAGACACCACTTTGAATGGTTGTTGTACATTTTTCAAAGACATTGAGGAAAAAAATTTGGTATAAAATAGCACTTACAGAATTCCATTCTTCTCAATAACTCCTAAACCAGATCAGGTGGCGTAATGACTCATACACCGAATTGAAGCTCAGTTGTCAAGGTTGTCACATAGGCTAAAATTAGAGATACGAGTAGCTCTAAACTAACCTCATAAAATTAACGTTTTTTTTTAAAATAAAAGTTAGAATTTCAAATTTTTCGAATTTTAAAGTCATATGATTCCGAAATCTGAACAGATTATAACTAGTGTACATTTTCATAAGAAAGCCCTTACTCTGACGTTTCCCAATCAGATATGCTAATGCGCCTGTCTTACACAGTTGCGAAGTTATACTTAAAATTTCAAAAAGGAAAAAAAATCAGATGAAATTGACTTTAAGTCTGTTGAGCTGTGAACATCGTCCCCATACAAAAGTTTTTTCTACCCACAAGGGCCTATGCAATGGCATATAGCAGTGCACTTAATGTTCAGATTTCGAGATAACATAAATCTGAACCATTTTTTATTCGACTTGCGACATTGTTCCTGTTACGACACTAAAAATGTTTTAATTTTTTTTATTGACAAATCGATAGTGTATTTAGTTATGTTATACTAAATACGGTTTAGATATATAAGTTAACACGCACAAAAATAAAATATTGAAAAATGCTATTCTGCAGAATTCGCAACTTTTGGGGAATGAACTTTTGGTTACGCAAATTAACATGCGTAAAAATAAAATATTGAAAAATGCTATTCTGCAGAATCCGCAACTTTTGGGTTATGAACTTTTGGTTACGCATATTAACACGCGCAAAAATAAAATATTGAAAAATGCTATTTTACAGATTTTGTAAATTTTGAAAATGAATTTTTGGTTGCGCGTATTGAAAATGCTGAAATGAAGTTTTATAAATCGAGTTTTTTTTATTCAGGTGAAGTTTTCCTAAACTTATATTAATTTCTGATATTTTAAAACTATTCATCATTATTATTGTAACAATTGGTTGAAGCGGTACTAATTATTGTTAATAAAATAAGAATAAAGGAAAATATAAAAAGGTTAAACGTAAAATAATTTTATTTTTTATTTTTTTTTTAAATAAATATCAGAAGTTATTAACTGGCGCCCGAGCATATTTTTTATTATTTATTTTTGACACATTTCAACAATTTGAATTATCTCATTTCGATTATTCATACGTTACTTATAAAATTGTTTCAAATAATTTCAGTTAGTTTTTAAATTATTAAAAATAAATATGTATGTACCTACTTCCAATAAATTTTTTTTTAAATAATTATTTTAAAACTATTTCAAACATGTTATATTGAGTGCTTCAAAAATTTTGCTGTGCTCTTTTTTCATATTTTATTAGCAGGTAAACAAGAGCAATCTATTTATAAAATGTCCCTGCATGTGTATGTATGACCTATCTTAATTCTAAACGGAAAGAATTTTAAAATACCTGAACAAAAATTTTAAAATACCTGTTATTTTACAGTCGGAATTTTCGAGTCATTTGGTAAAATACCATTTATTTCAAAAATAGAAAAATATTCAAATCCGGTCATAAAAATATATGATTGTTTTTTCCAAACATTTTAAATATTTTTTTTTCTTAGGTAATTGATATAAATGATAGTAAGTTTTTAATATTTTTTCAAATAAAAATAGAGGTAAAATTTTGAAGTTTATATAAAATTTGTATTTAACAAATAATATTTGATTGTATTTTAGATATTATTTTCTAATTCCCTCTTCAAATTTTTTCTTTACTATGTATTTATATCAATATTTAAGAATTATCTTTCATTAATTATATTTTCAACTTGACACCACAGGTACTTCCCATATCTTGCGTTAACTTACCCTATGAGAAAAAAAAGCTGTTCACTTAAAAATAATGAAATGCTTTCAGTAACAAATAAAACGTTGAAGGCGAAGGTTGTGTTTGTTGTTTTTCCGCTTTTTTTTAAATTTTAAAATAATTATCAATGAAAATATTAATATATTTTTTTGATTTTTCAAATGTATGTTCTAAATTTTACCTGCTTTATAATAAGTGTGAATTTATTTTAATATTTCTTCTCAAAAAATAGCCACTTCGATTTAAAAAAGGCCATATAAAATAAGGTGTGCTTTCAAGTTTCTCTCTGAGCATTGGGACTTGTTAGATATAAAGACATTAAAACAATTATTAAAAAATAACTGTAAAACCACTGTAAAACCAATAACAGTAAAAAGCCGCACAGCACTCACAAAGCGGGACTGTGGCATACCGTGACCAAACCACTTTGACAGGAAGGACCAAGGAAACGAGGCCCCTTAGTAGTCTGGACTGACAAAAAGGAGTTCCTGCACCCAAAGGCGTTGCGAACAGCCGCCTGGTCTGTCATTATATTAGGGTAACTGGCAAAATGAGCACACTAAGGCAAATCATATTACTGTAAGTTATCTTTGATTATTTATTATTATTTACTTTGATATATATTATTTACTGTAAGTCATCTTTGATTAGGAATATAATTGAAACTGCGAGTACCAATCTAATATCTGAAGAGGAAAAAATAATAAAACTCGAGGATCAATTACACTTAATCAATTGAAACTACGAGTATTCGAAGAATTTTTGAAACATAAAAATAGTTATGACCATAGGTTATGATACTTATTGGGTCTGATTATTACACTAATAAATATTAGAAGTTTCTCAGTGTGATTAGAGAAACATTTACCGCAAGAAGAAAAACTTACTTGAAAGGAAAGAAAAATAAATTAATTTCCATAAAATAAAATAATTTTTTTTTTTATCTTCAGTAAAATATAGTGAAGTATTTTCAATAAAATAAAATATTAAATTTTTGTGGTACTTCTATTGGTTAAATGCGTCAATAAGTATCCCAATACAGGGGGAAAAGCAGTATGCCAACCATATTAATAAAAATAATTTCAATTTTAAAATTAAAAGTTATAAGAAAAAAATTATTTAATAAAAATACAAAATCATTTGAGCTCATACAAGATCTTTCATCTTTAAAGATAAACAATTTACTCTGCATAAATAAGAGTAAAACTGGCCACGAAAAATATTTAAAAATATTATTTGAATTAAATTTGTAGATTAAAGAATTAATAACAAAATTAGTTATCATAGTTATACTAACTTTAATTAACAAATATTTGTAGACTAACAAAACTACTAATAATTAAAAAAATATCATAACTACCGTGATTCAAGCCTACTCTTCGATACCTAAGGTGAGGCTGCCTTAGGCACGGTGGTGATTTAACTAACAAAATAAAATATTCTACTGTAATAAAATTAAAAACACAATTTTCATTTTTTTTTAGGAAATTTTAAACAGAACAAACCAAACCTAATTGTAAAATAAAAATTTGAAAAGCAAAGAAATTATTTACTTTTTAAATAATTAAAAGCAAAGAAATTGTTTTTAAAATAAATCTGGAATATAATGTCTTGGAATTCAAAAAGTGATGAAATACTTATCGAACTCACTCGGCATAAAATAGATATATGCGCGATTTCCGAAACCAAAAAGAAAGGGAAAGGTTCAGGTAGTTATGGCGACTACATTCTGCTGTATAGTGGTAAAGATAAAAATGACAGAGCAAAATCAGGCGTTGGAATCCTAATTCACAAAAAATTTGAGAACAGCATCAGTGACGTTAAATACGTAAATGATAGACTGCTGATGGTAACCCTAAATTATGGTAAATCAATTTTACACCTTATAAGTACCTATGCACGCGATATAAACAAACCGGCACAGGAGATCGACGATTTCTATTGCAAAATGCAAAACTTAGCTGACTCCATAAGGGCGGATGAGAAGTTGATATTACTAGGCGATTTCAACGCAAGAATCGGTGATAACGTTATCAGCGGCATAAAACAACGATTCAATGAGAATGTGATCAATGAAAATGGCGAAAAGCTAATAGAATTTTTCTCTCAAAATCTACTACGAATCAACAACACATTCTTCAATCATAAATTGCAACACAAATATACATGGTCAAACACTCGTGGTCAACAGTCGATGATAGATTTTATAATTACCAATCGAGAATGCATACCAACACAAATACTCGACGTTCGGACATTAACATCACCAAACATTGGGTCTGATCATGGGCTAGTGCTAATGAAATTCTCAGAAAAAATATCTTGGCAAAAATCAAAACCGCCAGAATATAAAGAGAAGTTCAACATCGAGTCACTGATAAACGATAGCACGAAAACCTTGTATGAAAATCGATTGAATAATAAAATAGCTGCGAATTCGATAGCGGAATTCGATAATAGTGAACAAGCTTGGAAAAAACTATCAGCAAATATTATCAATGCAGCGAAAGAGGCACTTGGAACCAGGAAAGTTAATATCCATGCAAAAAATAACAAAACTCCATGGTTCACAATCGAAGTGAAAACAATTTGTGCAGAAAAAAGAAAAGCCTACCTAAAATACAGGAGCGAGAGATCCAGGGAAACATATCGAGCGTACATAGCAATAAGAAACAGAACTAACCAGAGAGAAAAGAAAATAAAAGAAGAGTACTAGGCAAAATTCTCTGCAGATATGGAGTATGACATGTACGGAGCCCAGAAAAAAGTCTGGAACATGCTCCGAAATCGTAAAAAACCCATAGTAGAACTTTTCGAAACAACAAAAATAAGCACAGAAGAATGGATTCGTCATTTTAACGATCTTTACAACAACACAGATGCAGCACATAATTTTGAAAACCTTACAGCTGAAGATAGTTACACAATAGAAGAAGAAATAGTCGGGCTCAACATAAATAAACTAAAAAATCGTAAAGCACCTGGGCATGACGAAATTTCAATTGAGCTAATAAAATATGGAGGGCTTGGTGTAAAACGCGAAATAACAAAATTTTTCAATATCATTATTAACAGTAGTCAAGTTCCAGCAGATTGGAAAAGCAGCATTACTATTCCAATATTTAAAAAAGGAGATAAAGCCAATCCTAAAAATTATCGCGGAATTTGTCTGCTGAGCGCAGTTTTAAAGCTCTTCACCAAAATTATTGCGCAAGAAATTGTATCAAAAGCCAATATCAGCGAAGCACAACAAAGGTTCCGTCGAAATCGATCAACAACTGACGCTATATTCATATTAAAACAAATTATTGAAAAATCAATAGAGTATAACACCCCGGCATTCTTGTGTTTCGTAGACCTGACAAAAGCTTTCGATAAGGTAAAGTTAAATGATGCTCTAAATATAATGCGCGACAAGGGAATACATCCTCAAATTGTGAATATTATAAACGACTTGAATTATAACAACACAACAAAGTTAAGGTTAAACAAGAAACTAACGGAGGAACTACCTACTCAAGATGGAATACGGCAGGGAGATAGTGTAAGCCCTACGCTTTTCAACTTGATAATGGACCAAATAATTGAAAAAACAGAGGAGCTTGATATTGGCTACAGAATGGGGGTTTACAAGTTGAAAATACTATGCTACGCAGATGATGCCGTATTAATCGCCGAAAACGAGGACGACCTGCAGAGATTGTTATATAGGTTTACAAATGCAGCAGAAACATATAACATGCAAATATCTACCGAAAAAACAAAATCTATGGTCATAAGTAAAAACCCTATCAGATGCAAGCTCGTAGTAAACAATAGCACCATCGAGCAGGTAATGCATTTTAAATATCTTGGCGCTGAAATTACAGCAGGCAGAGACTTAAATGCTGAAATAAAACATCAAACTGAAAAAGCTGCTTTAGTCTCGGGGTGCCTACGTGATGTGGTTTGGAAAAACAAGTATATCAACCTGCACAGTAAAGTTAAAATATATAAAACATGCGTAAGACCCATTGCAACATACGGAACTGAGGGCAGAGCAGAAACTTCATACACCAAGCAAAAATTACGAGCCACCGAGATGAAAACTCTGAGACAAATCACTGGAAAAACACTCAGAGACCACATTCGCAGTGAGGAAATAAGAAAAATATGTGATGTGAAAGATATTGTTCGCTGGGAAAGAATTAGAAAAAGAGAATGGAGAGAGCACCTAAACAGGATGTTAACAAATAGGATGGCAAAAATCGCATACGAAAATTACCCACATGGCTCACGGCTTCCAGGACGGCCCCCTAAGAGGTGGAAACAATGTTGGACTTCACAATCACAAGAACAACCAGAGGCAATGTAAAAATAAAACAGGACATATGGGCCTGTAACAAGAAGAAGAAGAAGAAGAAGAAGAAAATAAATCAATTTTTAAATAAATTTGGAATATTTAATTTAAAATAGATTTTTTTAATAATAATTACAGTCAATAATAAGTTTAAATAGATTTTTTTTATATAATTTTATAATTTTAATAGAATTTTTAAATTTTTTCTAACCATACATTTTGAGAATTTTAAATAAAATTTTTCTTGTTTGACAATTAAAAAATACAATAAAAAGAAAGGAAGAAAAATACACTTGTAAAAGGTTAAAAGCAAACAAGCAGCTTAAAACTACTAATTTTTTTTCCTTTTCTCTATTCTCGATTTTGCCCGTTTTACCAATTTTAAATTACCAATAATCGAAATTTTGTCTGCAACAACCACTCTTTAATCAATTGTAATTAAGATCTTCTTTAAATAAAATTGAAACTACTTTTCTTTTACATAAACTACTCATATTTTCTTAACAAAAATTAATTGGCAAACGTTCACTGTAATTGCAATTCGCAATTTGCTATTTTTGTAGGGAACTCTAAGATATTTTGCTTCCAAATTTAATTTATCTTCATTAATATTTCTCGACGCCTTAATATGGCAACTTGTACAAACTTTGGCAAATCCCCACATGGTATCTCTACTCCTGAAATACCACCCTACCAAGTTGATGGTGAGGATGATGTTAGTCCAATTCACGCATCTTCTTTACATGAACATGAAAGATCTCAGGCCATCAGAGAAACTATTAGAGAGATGGTTCAGTATGAGACGAGGAGAATATTTGAGAACGGAGGCACATCGAATTTATTTGTTCTCAATATCATCAATTCAGTGTTCTCAATATTTATCAGCATTTGCGAGGGAAACCAAAATATTACGGCATCATTAACGCCATTCGAAACAAGATCGTGGGCAGTGCAGACGTAGCCCTCGAGTCATACAATACTCCACTTAATTGGCAAAGCATAGTGAAATGTCTCCACTTGAACTATGCGGATAAAAGGGACATCGTCACGCTGGAGGAGCAGATGTCTACAAAATCACAAAGAAGATCTTCGGTGGAGGATTTCTAGAAGGAAATCTACCATCATTTATCCCTAATTTTGGAGAAAATTTCGGCCATGGATCTTACTATGGATGCTCGGTCAACTATGACCCTATGTTATAAGGAAAAAGCACTAAATGCTTTTATTAAGGTCTTAAATGGAGACCTTCCGCGTTTCTTAGCTATGAGGGAACCGAAAGATCTACCTCAAGCTCTGCACTTATGCCAAAAATTTGAGAGTGTGAGTCAAACAAGACTGGGGGAACAAAAGAACAGTCAAAGAAGAAAAGAACAGTCACAAAAGAACAGTCAAAGAAGAAACAATTCTAAATTTTTTAATAACAATTGTAATTACCGTCCGCAATCATATTCAAGACCTCACTTTAATGGAGGCAATTTCCAAAATAAAGAATGGCCTCAATTGGGGATCACGCACACGAACGGACGACCAAAGTCAGAACTAGTAAGCTCGATCTTCTCAAACAATTACAATTACAACAGAAACACCAACCAGGGGTTCTTTCAAAATAAAAGAAACAATACCAACCGGTCCTTCCAACGAAACAAATTACAAAAGATAAACCACACCAACACTCAAATAAAGTCAAAGCCGAACGAAGAAAATAACAAAATAACTTGTTCAACTTGTGCCACTTGCTCAACCAACACAGAAAACCCTTTTTTAAATTAGAAGTGGTTCTTCCAGCCGGAAGACCACTTCGAGAGGGCTCTTTTATCCCATACATAGAACATAAAGTGGGAAACGGAGAGGTATTAAGGTTCATTATTGATACAGGTTCTAATAAAAACTACATTAATCCTAAATTCATAAGAAATCCAAAACTAAACAATCAAAAATTTCAACCTAGTTCTATTGGTGGTGAAGTTACAATCACCCACCATGCTGAAGTAGATCTATTCAAAAATAACTTTCCAAAATTAAAATTTTTTCTTTTACCAAACTTGAATTCTTTTGAAGGTATTATACGAAACGATACCTTAAAGGAATTAAGAGCCATAATTAACACAGACGAAAACAAATTAATTTTAAACGATTGTCTAATAATACCCATAAAACAATATGTCACAGAAACAGTTAATAAAATTGAAATAAGAACCGCCCACTAAAATGAAGACCAGAAAAAAAAAACTAAATTTACTAATAAAACAACATCATAAACTCTTCGCTAATCCAAACGAAAGATTGACCTATTCCACGGTAGTAAAGGCTGAGATACGAACAACCACAGATGAACCGGTCTTTTCTAAGTCCTTATCCAATGGCTCTGAAACAAGAAATAGATAAACAAATAAGGCAGCTTCTGAACGATGGTATTATCCGACTTTTTAGGTCACCATACAATTCTCCTGTATGGATAGTACCAAAGAAGGAAGATGCGTCCGGAGAAAAAAAGTTCAGAATGGTTATAGATTACAGAAAGATTAATAAGATAACAATTCCTGATAAATATCCAATACCAGAAATTAACCAGAAATTGGCAAATCTTGGTCAAAATGAATACTTTTCTATAGTCGATCTGAAAAGTGGTTTCCACAAAATTTTGTTGAGGGAAAAAGATATAGAAAAAACGGCTTTTTCAGTCAATAACGGAAAGGAGTTCACGTGTCTTCCGTTTGGACTGAAAATGCCCCTTCCATATTTCAAAGGGCCCTAGACGACATTTTGCGAGACCATATTGGGGTGCGATGCTACGTTTACATCGATTTTTTTTTTTTTTTCCTTTGTTCACTCCTAGAAGGAGCATAGGGCTAGTGCATGATTTCTCATGCACTAGTTTCATAGCGTCATAGGGTTTAACTAGGTAGGTGACTAGCCTGCCGTAGTTTTTATTTATATATTAATTATTTGAGGTTATTAATATTTACTGTTTATTTTTCTTAGTTTCCGATGTTAGGAATATTTGAAAATTACTTGTACAATATTCTTATTAGTATTGTATATTAAGTTATAATAATGTTGAATATAATTTTTATAGTGACCTGACCGAAGTTTGAATCCGAGACCCTTCGGTTAAAGGACCGGTGCCATAACCACTGCACCAATGGTCAGATACGTTTACATCGATGACATAATAATATTCGGGAAAACAGAAAATGAACATTTTAAAAATTTAGAAAAAATTTTCCATACTTTGGAACTTGCCAATATGAAAATTCAGCTCGACAAGAGCGAATTTCTCAAACATGAAATTGAATTTTTAGGGTTTCTGGTAAGCCCGAAGGGAATTAAAACTAACCCGAAAAAGGTTCAGGCCATTTGCGACCTACCCATTCCAA